GAATGACAAGGACACATCGAAACCAGTCGCTAGACATTTTAATTTACCTAATCATTCTAAGCAACATATGGCAATCTGCGGTCTTTCCTTACACTTAGGTAGCACGGAAAGCCGTAAAACTCTTGAACAAAAGCTCATCTTTCAAACCGGCAGTCTAAATCCCACAGGGATCAACGAACGCTTTTCATTCCACTAATTTATTCGTGTTTTTCTCGTTGCCATGTTCCCACCAATAACGTAGCTCCATTTTCTGCCTTTAAAAGCACACACAACCCACAATTCCTCTATTCGCTCCGACGAAGGGCTAACGCTCGAAACGTCAGCTTTTGTAATCGTTACGGTGGCCAATTTACCATTTCAACTTTGTTGATATATCCAAATTATTTCGTTACCCCCACCGACGCAGCCCCAAACAGTTTCTTTAGAAACTATCAGCCTTTATCCTTCAGATAGACTGTCCTGCATACTGAACCGCATACTGCATATTGTATATTGTATACGGCATACTGCATACTACAATTGCATACTACTTACTGCATACTGCATATTGCATACTGTAAACTGCATATCGAATATTGCATATTGCATGCTGCATATTGCGCATTGCATGTTGCATAACGCATACTGCATACGGCATACTGCCTACTGCCTATTGCATACTGCATACTGCATACTGCCTTATGCATATACTGCATACTGCATATTGCATACTGATCGAAGGAATAAACTTTTACTCGTAGAAATATTGCTCTCATTCTCCTGCATCGACATGAAGACGCTAAAGATAATCTCCTTTTTCAATCCTGTTTTGCTTTTCTGGGGATTTTGCTGGGGTGCTTTCGATGCGGGAGCTATAGGTAAGGTACTAAAATGTTATGATAACAGTCCCATCTTCCACTGCTTTTGACGGAAATACAACAATTGTTCGACACTTTTTCAAAGCTGCGTCATCTTTTAAAAGCTAAGAATCCCAACGTACCACGTGGAGATGGAAGTGAGGAATAAAATGAACTTTATTTAGCCATGTTTGAGCCAAATGGCGGAACTTTTCAGTTTTTCATATCAAAGAACGTCTTTCATTGACACTGATAAACGGTTCAAACTCGTCCCTTGTCTTCTTTTTTGATGTTATAAGAAAACTTCCTGTATTGTAAATCGAACCACTGTAACGTTTTAATCTACTCATGATATAGCACATAGTTCAAGTGAACCCGGAGTGTCCCGCCACGAAGTCTCCCACTCAGTTCTAAGCCAGGAAGGTCGGACAAGTGTAGGTAAGATTAGATCAACTAAATATTCCATAACACGACGATATTAATGCCTGATTTTATGACTCATTCCTGTGAAAAGATAACGAGATAAGCTTTTAAGTAAGTGTCGAAGGTGACCCGAGATTGTGCTAGTTTCTCTTCGCTGGGCTCTGTGATCAGTCCTAAACAGTTACATGCGCCAAATTCTCAAAAAATCAAATGGAAAAAACTGAAACTAGAAAGGAAACTCCTGCGTTTGAGGCAGTTTGCTCTGAGTTCTGAGTGGCTCTGTTTGTTATAAACCCGGCTTTTGTTATTGGCTATTTGAAAGCGCTCGATCATTTCATGTCTGGTTTGAAATTGTGGAAGGATGCCGAGTACGTCTACAGTTTCTACCCAACTTGCGTTCATCCTGAAAAAAGAGGAGAGGCTCCTAACGTTGATTAGTATATACTAAAACAGTGGATAGCGTTGAAGGCGTGCTCTGATTGGCTAGGCAAACTCCGAATATCCTTTGCTATATACCTCCGAGCAACTCGAAAAAAAATGGCGTTCCGGTTTGCATCCGTGACAAGCAAAGAAATCACTCAAATCAATTTTTGGTGGTGTATATTATCTCACTGTTTTAGTATATACTAAAACAACTATTCACCTCAGTGTCGGTGGTTAGCGGTGGATGTTTACCTCGCCGCTTCGCGGTTCGGTAAATATCCACCACTAACCACCTCCACTTCGGTGAATAGTTGTTAATTATAACATGACTAAAGCAAAGCGCGCGCTCTGATTGGTCAATTTAGCGTCCCCCATTTTTCCATGGGTGCACGCT